AATAATAAAATTAAACTCTATAACCCTTCAATAATAATAAAATTAAACTCTATAGTCCTTCAATAATAATAAAATTAAACTCTATAGTCCTTCAATAATAATATAATGAAACTCTATAACCCTTCAATAATAATATAATGAAACTCTATAACCCTTCAATAATAATAAAATGGAACTCCGTAGTCCTTCATTAATAATAATAATCTCTATAGTCCTTCAATAATAACAATAAAATGAAACTATAATCTTTCAATAATAACAATAAAATGAAAATCTATAATCCCTCAATAATAACAATAAAATGAAACTCTATAATCCCTCAATAATAATAAAAAAATGAAAGTCTATAGTCCTTCAATAATAACAATAAAATGAAAGTCTATAGTCCTTCAATGATAATCAACTGAAACTCTAGTCCTTCAATAATAAAAAAATGAAAGTCTATAATCCTTCAATAATAACAATAAAATGAAAATCTAGTACTTCAATAATAACAATAAAATGAAAGTCTATAGTCCTTCAGTGATAATCAACTGAAACTCTAGTCCTTCAATAATAACAATAAATTGAAAGTCTATAATCCTTCAATAATAACAATAAACTGAAACTCTATAATCCTTCAATAATAACAATAAAATGAAAGTCTATAGTCCTTCAGTGATAATCAACTGAAACTCTAGTCCTTCAATAATAACAATAAAACGAAACTCTAGTCCTTCAATAATAACAATAAAATGAAAGTCTATAGTCCTTCAATAATAACAATAAAATGAAAGTCTATAGTCCTTCAGTGATAATAAAATGAAACTCTAGTCCTTCAATAATAACAATAAAATGAAAGTCTATAGTCCTTCAGTGATAATAAAATGAAAGTCTATAGTCCTTCAATAATAACAATAAAATGAAAGTCTATAGTCCTTCACTGATAATAAAATGAAACTCCAGTCCTTCAATAATAATAAAAATGAAACTCTATAACCCTTCAATAACAATAAAATGAAACTCTAAGATCCGATGTGTAAAAATAGGTTTTATTAAAAGAAAAGAGAAACAAAGTCACAAGAAGTTTGAAAGGTGATGAAAGCCTTCAGTTAATCGTCATCGGTGATGTTCATCGAACAAATGGTACCTCCTCTCCTATCCAAGGATTCATAGTAAACGATGAAAACAAACACAGTCTTGTGAGAAGTGTCGAAATTACCACTATCAAATTACAGTGAAAATGTTGCCTTGGAGCTTAGCCAGTCAAGATAAGATATTTATAATGTTTTCAAACTATTTGTTAAAGTTGATGCTTGTTATAAACACGTGCCACACAGACTTGAAATTAGGACGTTGGAAAAGCGCTTGCGTATAGCTACTGGTATCAGCAACTAGTTTTCTTAGCAGCGGCTAACCAAACAATTAGCTTCCTTATGTCGCAATACTAAAATGTTTGAATTAAACCGAAGTAAATATTGAAATCACGAGGAAAAAGCGTACTGTAATTGGGTATTATTACTAGAAGGACCTTGAGGAGATAAGTGTTAGACAAGGCCCAACTTCGAAATATGGGAAGTACCACACTACAAGGATTGAGCACTGACAAACATGGGACTCCATTATTAATGGTAAGATATCCTGTGCTGTGGTTAATATTAAACTCCTCTAACATGGAAATAAATCAATATCAAAACGAAAAAATGTCAACAAAAAAAAACATCATTAATAACTATAAGACTACAGAAGACTGATTGTAATTAACTTTCAAGAATTATAAATAATCATTAAGATCGTAAGAAGTTGCACAACAAAGCTTTAGTTTCTAATCAATATGGAATATAACGACATGATAAATATAAAGACTCGTTGTTGAAGCTTTATCAATATAAATATTCGTTACTGAAAGAACAAAGCAACCATACTTTTCCAAAATTATCAAAAATGTTTAAATTTCCTTTTAATCGAAAAAATCACAAAAAGAATTTCTATCACAAAGAATATACTAGATTTGTGAAAGATATCGTGTTAGTTTTTAAACTGTTGGTAGGTTGTTTACTTTTGTTATAACGAAAAGTTGAACAAGTGGTTATTGTGTCGTCAGCTGAATGGAACCTCTAATTCTTGGGTTAAAAGACCGAGTCTTTCCACTTAGCCACCAGGGGGACGAAATATTTACAATTCAAGATCTAAAGGATATGTCAGGAAGTTACAGAAACGCCTATATTTGTTACAAAAATATTAAGATTCTAAAGATTTTGGGTGTAGTTATAAAGTGCGACTGTTATGAAGAATTGCAATATGTTTGTATAAAACAAGAATTCTAAAGATTTATAGTTATACAAAAATAAGGATTCTAAAGAGTTATATTGTACTTGTAGGAGAACACAGGTTTGATTTTTCACGTAACAATGGTCAACACTTGGATTCCATCATGTCAGTTTATTCTCCAAAATGGAAGAAGCAAATCTAGAGGACATGACTCTCTATAGGTGAAGAAGAAGAAGAGGCTGAACCCATTATACCGTGCAGCAGTGTAGAAGATACGAGTGTTCGGAATCAGTGTTTTTGTTTTTTTTTGTTTTTTGGTATGTATGGTGTTACTAAACTGTGTATTAGTTGAAGTTTAATGTACCGTATGGACAGAGGATAGTAATCGTACCAAACTATAATGGGCTTTTTGTGGACACAGGTCAAAGATTGGTGAGGACAGCTGGTTGAGGTTGTCATTGGAGATAGAGCGTCGATGACAAACTAATGTTTATCCAAAACATTTTAAATCTGTCCAATCTGCCATTGGAGAGAGACTGTTGTTGAAACATTAATGTCTATAAACAGTTCCACTATTCTGTCAAAACTGCCATTGGAGAGAGACTGTTGCATTAATGTTTCATATACTCGTGAACACAATAACATAACTTGATTATTTCCTGTAAGTTGAACTGGTATATGGATGTACAGACATAACAAGGTTGTCTTGGTATATTATTTATCATGTTAGTTTATCAGTTACAGGTATATAGATGTATAGACACGACAATATTGTCTTGGTTTATTTTGTATCATAGTAGTTTACCAGTTACTGGTATATAGATGTATAGACACGACAATATTGTCTTGGTATATTATTTATCATGTTAGTTCATCAGTTACTGGTATATAGATGTACAGACACAACAAAGTTGTCTTGGTTGAATTATTTATATAATTTAACGGTGTTCTCCTGGTTGAGTTATTATGAATATAATGTAACAAGGCTGTTCAGCTTTGATTTCTATGTAAATAATTTATTGCAAGCTGCAAAGTGGGCATTCATTTATGTAGCTGATAGATCACCTTACATAGAAATGAAAACATCATGTACAATAAAACTTCCAGGTTTGAAGCAACAAATTAGATTAAATAATGCATTTTTTTTTCTTTCATGGAAAATGTAATTTAAAGTAAAATAGCTATATACATCCTACAAATTAGGCTCAATAAATTCTTAAGATTATCCGTGTAATTAATCATCCCCACACCATCAACTGTTTAGCTGTTGTATATTTAGATATATATTCTTTTTCCATCAACTGGTTGGTTGTTGCACCATATATATTTATTCTTTTCCCATCAACTGTTTAGTTGTTCTCGTATACTGTAATTTTATCACTGCTGTTGGTTGTTGTCATGGTGATGTTCTACATAGAAGAAGTAAACATAAACTATTATACAAAACGTCATTCATGTTAAGGAAACACAGGCATCATTAAATTATAATTCATGTTAAGGAAACACAGGCATCATTATATGAAAAACAGCTATGTTAACATGATTTTGTTCTCTCACCTGGAAGTAAGGAGTCTTTTCTCCATACTTGCTCCAAAACGTCACTTTGCTGACCGTCTGATGACCTGTTCTTTGGTCAAACATTCGACAACTATCAAATGGTGGACAGTACAGATGTAAGCTAACTGCTGCTTCAGTATGACTTCTATTTTCCACACGATGAAGACCAAGGGAGTCTAAGAAGACGAAAACATGACTAGAACTAATAGAAAGTATAACACACGTCTAAACATATCCATAAAATATCACCATATTTACCACGTTCTGTAGTTTACTGTTTATTGTGTCTAGAGCTAATAGGAAGTGTAACACACGTCTAAACATATCCATAAAATATCACCATGTTTACCACGTTCTGTAGTTTACTCTTTATTGTGACTAGACCTAATAGGAAGTATAACACACGTCTAAACAGTAACATATCCAAAAAATATACTTTATTTAATGAAACTTAAAAATTGTTTAAATATAATTATTTCTCACCATTTATGTAAGCAACCTCGTTCGCCTTCAAATCTGTCTCTCCTATTGGCTGCATTTGTTCGTTCTCTGAAGGCCAGTCGTAGCGAACCTCAGTCAAACAACCAGAAAGTTGCTGTGGAAAATAACCGCTTTGATTCAGTATTACAACTGTTCAGAAAGAAGGAGCTGATCAACAGTTTACCAGTGATATAGAGAAAATCCTTAAATCTTAAAAACCAACACTTTATGGATGAATTAAAAGTGTAAAGTGATAACTTTCTAGAGAAGACTTTCTGAAATGTTAACGCCAGATTCCTATATTTGTCAAAACTTGTTTGACAAGTTTTTTGTCAGACCTTGGATTTCTATGTTAGGATTTTCATTTTGGTAAAATTAAGATTCGTTAAAATTCGAAACTGGAAACTCACCTTCATAAAACAGTGGCAGTTGGAGTGGTCGTGTATGCTGCTTCCTTGACCTTCTGACCAAGCTAGAACCATCAGGTTAAACTTTCCATTGCCTTCGTCAACCAAGTTACGAGTGTACCTGTAGAAGGATAGCAGTCAGTGATGAGGTCTATATTATAACAACTACCTCCAGATAGTAGACCTGTAGAAGGATAGCAGTCAGTGATGAGGTCTATATTATAACAACTACCTCCAGATGGTAGACCTGTAGAAGGATAGCAGTCAGTGATGAGGTCTATATTATAACAACTACCTCCAGATGGTAAACCTGTAGAAGGATAGCAGTCAGTGATGAGGTCTATATCATAACAACTACCTCCAGCTGGTAGACCTGTAGAAGGATAGCAGTCAGTGATGAGGTCTATATTATAACAACTACCTCCAGATGGTAGACCTGTAAAAGGATAGCAGTCAGTGATGAGGTCTATATCATAACAACTACCTCCAGATGGTAAACCTGTAGAAAGATAGCAGTCAATTCTGATGTCTATTCTTGTTCAGACCCATTCTGTTTTCTATCTTAGATTGGATTACTTCTAGTTTAAGACATGGTCAAAATCCATCATTCGTAGGCTATCCCAGGCATTGTAGATTGTCGTAACTGGACACTTCAATGTCTTCTTCAGATATTGTAGATTGTCGTAACTGGACACTTTAGTGTCTTCTCAGGTTTTGTAGATTATCATAACTGGACACTTTGGTGTCTTCCTTAGATATTGTACATTGTCATAATTGGACATTTTAGTGCCTTCTTTAGATATTGTAGATTGTCATAACTGAACCCATTAAGATATTGTAGATGGTCATAACTGGACACTTTAGTGTCTCTTCGGATATTGTAGGTTGTCATAACTGGATACTTTATTGTATTCTTCAGATATTGTAGATTGTCATAACTGGACCTGTTAATGTCTTCTTCAGATATTGTAGGTTGTCATAACTAGACATTTTAATGTCTTCTCCAGATATTGTAGGTTTTCATAACTGGACACTTTGGAGTCTTCTTTAGATATTATAGATTGTCGTAACTAGACACTTTAGTGTCTTCTTATGATATTGTAGATTGTCATAATTGGACCTGTTAATGTCTTCTTCAGATACTGTAGGTTGTCATAATCAGACACTTTGGTGTCTTCTTCAGATATTGTAGATTGTCATAACTGGACACTTTAATGTCGTCTTCACATATTGTACATTGTCATAACTGGACACTTTAGTGTCTTCTTCAGATATTGTAGTTTGTCATAACTGGACCTGTTAATGTCTTCTTCAGATATTGTAGGTTGTCATAACTAGACACTTTGGTGTCTTCTTCAGATATTGTAGATTGTCATAATTGGACACTTTAATGTCTTCTCCAGATATTGTAGGTTTTCATAACTGGACACTTTGGAGTCTTCTTTAGATATTGTAGATTGTCGTAACTGGACACTTTAGTGTCTTCTTCAGATATTGTAGGTTGTCATAAGTAGACACTTTGGTGTCTTCTTCAGATATTGTAGATTGTCATAACTGGACACTTTAATGTCGTCTTCACATATTGTACATTGTCATAACTGGACACTTTAGTGTATTGTATATTGTACAGTGTCACAACAAGACACTTTAATATATCTAAGCATTGGAAAAATTCAATGTGTGTCCAAAGTTCTGAAGGTAATTTATAGAATTCGTATGTAGTGGTAACCGTGTCCTAACTAATACTAACTAAATAAAAAACATTACTTTCATTATTATACTCTAATAAAATGCATTAGCACATGCTTGTGAAGACAATCAAAATATAACTTACTCGGCATTCTACGTTATGATACAGATCAAGGCCACAGTTAGGCATGACAATGTAGGAATTCAGCCCTCTTGGTAAAGAGAGGCTTTTTATGTGATATCATATCGACTGTCATTGAGATAACGTGTGATTATTTCGTTGAAATATTGTCGCTGTTTTTGGAAGAAGGAAAACCCGAAACTAGAAGTTAAAACAATGAGGAAAATATGATAATACAGAAAACTTCCCGTCCAAGTAAAACTTGCTGTCAAGTATTGATTTGCTTATTATATTATTTAATCACTAATATTATTAAAACCACGTGGTCCTTCTCATCTTGGCATCACGTAACATCCAAATAAACCCCCTAGCAAGTAATTACTTGTTTATTATATTATGTAACTACTAGTATTATAAAGTTCGTATTTAAAATATCATGAAATATAAACTTAGAAAAATAAACTTTCAATATATACAATTGGCCTATAAGATATGATTCTAATTATTGAACAGTTAAAAACTGGCAAATATAGATAATGAATAGAGAAGTTTTTAAGACCTAATCATTAGATGGTTAACAGTCAGATGTGGATAATAAATGGGGAAGAGTTTTAAGACCTAATCATTAGATGGTTAACAGTCAGATGTGGATAATAAATGGGGAAGAGTTTTAAGACGTAATCAGTAGACGGTTACAGCCAGATGTGGATAATGAATGGGGAAGAGTTGTAAGACCTAATCAGTAGACGGTTAACAGATAGATGTGGATAATGAATGGGGAAGAGTTTTAAGACCTAATCAGTAGACGGTTAACAGCTAGATGTGGATAATGAATGGGGAAGAGTTTTAAGACCTAATCAGTAGATGGTTAACAGGTAGATGTGGATAATGAATGGGGAAGAGTTTTAGGACCTAATCAGTAGGCGGTTACAGCCAGATGTGAATAATGAATGGGGAAGAGTTTTAGGACCTAATCAGTAGATGGTTAACAGATAGATGTGGATAATGAATGGGAAAGAGTCTTAAGACCTAATCAGTAGACGGTTAACAGGTAGATGTGGATAATGAATGGGGAAGAGTTTTAAGACCTAATCAGTAGACAGTTAACAGATAGATGTCGATAATGAATGGGGAAAAGTTGTAAGACCTAATCATTAGACGGTTAACAGGTAGATGTGGATAATGAATGGGGAAGAGTTTTAAGACCTAATCAGTAGACAGTTAACAGATAGATGTCGATAATGAATGGGGAAAAGTTTTAAGACCTAATCAGTAGACGGTTAACAGTCAGATGTGGATAATAAATGGGGAAGAGTTTTAAGACCTAGTCAGTAGATGGTTAACAGATAGATGTGGATAATGAAATGGAAAGAGTTTTAAGACCTAATCAGTAGATGGTTAACAGTCAGATGTGGATAATGAATGGAGAAGAGTTTTAAAACCTAGTCAGTAGATGGTTAACAGATAGATGTGGATAATGAATGGGGAAGAGTTGTAAGACCTAATCAGTAGATGGTTAACAGCCAGATGTGGATAATGAATGAGGAAGAGTTTTAAGACCTAATCAGTAGACGGTTAACAGACAGATGTGAATAATAAATGGGGAAGAGTTTTAAGACCTAGTCAGTAGGCGGTTACAGCCAGATGTGAATAATGAATGGGGAAGAGTTTCAGGACCTAATCAGTAGACGGTTACAACCAGATATGGATAAGGAATGGGGAAGAGTTTTAGGACCTAATCAGTAGACGGTTAACAGGTAGATGTGGATAATGAATGGGGAAGAGTTTTAGGACCTAATCAGTAGATGGTTAACAGATAGATGTGGATAATGAATGGGGAAGAGTTTTAAGACCCAACTATTAGATGGTTAACAGTCAGATGTGGATAAAGAACGAGGAAATATCTTGGATCTTATTCATATATATTAATCACGCTCCCCAAGTTGCTGAATGGACACCTGACCAGAGCGTTTCCATACAAGAGAGTATATATTAAAATAGATTTTATTACAAAAACATTTATTTATTTAACGTTGATAATTTTTTGTAGAGTATTCAAAACACATTCACAAAACTTTATGCTTAAAAAAGTAAATGAATTTTCAAAATTATATGAACAGAACCACGTACCTGTGCCTGTCAAACTTTGCATATTGTTTCCATTCTTTTGGATTACTTTTATACGCAACCATGACGTCACGTACATACTCTACATTTACAGAGTTTGACTCAAAAATTCTGTGCAACTCTTGTATTAGTTCGTCAAGTGTCATGATTTGGGGAATTTTGGGAGAAGGCACTTCTGTGTTTAGGGTTTCCATTCTGTTATACTCAACGTCTCCAAAACACAAAATAAACTAAAAACCCGTCTTCACGTTTTATAGTTCCCAATCCAGAACTGACTGACCTTGACTTCTGTGGCACAGCCAGTCATAGTTGGCCAGGATAGATAAATCCAAGTTCTCAGTAATTTCATTGGTCCACAGTTTCGTAATCAACCACATCGCAGAGTCCTCTCTTCCTTCTCGTTTCCTGCAATCAACGCACGACATCCCACCCGATTCTCTCATTTCTGCCTCTCTTCAACTACATGCATACAATTGATATGAGTACAAGGTTTCAAAATACAGATTAAATATTGCTAGAAAAATAAAACGATTCTTTCCCCATTTTCCCGTCAATTTCACATGCTTTCTCTTTACAACTATTTCTCACCAGATAGAACACAAGCTACAGCCAGAAGTTATTGAAACTGACTTTTACATGTAATAAAATGTTTTATTATAACAATAGTGTGTATATATTCTAGTAGCCTGTATTACACAGTCACTGGTGTTTACATGTAACAAACTGATTTGTTAAAACACTATACTTGAAATACTGTTTAATCGTCTTTTTGCACGAAACGATTTAATGTTCTTTAGTAGATACATAGCTTCATAAGCCTTGCTTTTAAAATAAATGGTTGTCTGTTTAAATTTTTCTACAGTTATCTGTATATAACAATCCTTATAGAAGTAATAGACTAGAGGAAAGCCAGCTAGTCAACAACACCCAACACCAACTTTTGGGCTAATGTTTTCTGATTTAATATTAGGATTTGAGAGCCACATCCGCACCTTAAAATAGCTAGGTACTTTCATCTTGTACTTGTTTGTTACTTAAACGTTCAGAATATAAAATCGTTAGCTGTTTAGTAGAATCCATTTGTCACTCACATAAGATCTTATAACAGCATTTCTTAAACTGTATTTCGCGTGCTGAGTCAAAATTTCATTTAAATAAATAAAATTGCCGTGTTTTTTATCCTAGCAAAGATAATGGTCGTCGCGACAACGAAAGCCGGACGCGAGGATCACCTGGCAAATCCGTCTGCGGAACACTGTTCTCTAATTCTCGTGTTCTAACTACTACGATCTCCGGTTCTCCATAGCTGCTTCTTTTTTTACACCTACCTAAGTATTTACTATAACACTTGTATTGGCGATGTTGGAATTTTAGCACATACACACGTAAACATTTCAATAATGTAACTGCGGTGGTTTAACTTTAGAAAGATTCTTACAAGAGACTTACAACGCTAGAATCCGATACCCGTGGTGGGCAGAGCACAGATAGCCCATTGTGTAGCTTTGTGCTTAATTACAAATAAACAATTCCATAATAAATATAAACGTGAAATAATTAAAAATTAATCCTAAAGTCAGTAAAAAAAAGTTTTAGTTTAATCAAAACTTAAATTAATCAAACTTGACTATTCTTCTAAATAGTTATAAAAATGATTCACTGTGTTTAAAGTAGAACAAGGCACTCTCCGTAATCCTTATAGGGCAAATAGAAAAACATATTCTGTATATTTACACCGTTAGTTGAAACGTTTTATACAGCTGTGAATACGCATGCATGTTTGTGTACGTGTGTGCAAAATTGAACAGTTTGACGTTTGAAACTTATTTTTCTTTATTAAAAACAGTTGCTGACCAATAATGATTGTTTATTTAAAAAATGTAATGGCTATTTCTAGCAGAATATTAAGTATAAGAAAGCTCAAACTTGGCATTACTTAATACAACGTTCGTGAGTCATTACTTAACAATTTTAAGATGATTAATTGATAATCACTTATAATGGCGGGTTTGGGGAAGTGGTCTTTGCTCGGAATGAAAGTAAGAGAAACACTGGAACTAAAAAAAATGATTCAATCTTGTGCATGATTTCTATGAAAAATTCATCAAATATTTAATCAAAATAATTATCCAAAATAAGAATCATAGTCCTGATTCAATGCTTTTTATATACAAATTGTAAAGAGTCATATGATTTACATTTAATAAAAAGTATAAAGTGTTTTATAAACTTGTACAACAATACTTACACGTGTTTGTATGTTGTTAAACAGTAATATCTTTTGTGTCAGTATCCTCCCGACTGAAAGTCTTGCAGCAACAACATACAAACACGTGTAAGTATTGTTGTACAAGTTTAAACAGTAATATCTTTTGTGTCAGTATCCTCCCGACTGAAAGTCTTGCAGCAACAACATACAAGCACGTGTAAGTATTGTTGTACAAGTTTAAACGGTAATATTTTTTGTGTCAGTATCCTCCCGACTGAAAATCTTGCAGCAACAACATACAAGCACGTGTGAGTATTTTTGTATGAGCACTATTCCTAGACGAAAAGCCTCTTCACTACATAATCTTTGTCTCTCAGTCCTTTAACAACAACGTTCGATGTCTGTTAGTGTTGGATCGCTTGGTTGTCTTGTACAACGATGTGTGCTGATATTTATATAGCTTTTGACTTGCGGTCTGCTTTTTCGAGTTTGACGATTGTGCTTGGCATCCATTACACATCTTTTAGGCCTTTGAGTATGTTATCAGATGCCTTGCGGTCTTGGGAAAAAAAACACATCGTCCATTTCCATGTCATAATCGTTTAGCAGTAGTTGTCAATTCCACAGCATGTCCTCAACACCTTATTCAGAAAAGTTGTTTCCTTAAATGAAAATGTATGAACAATTGCAACCATTCTTCCATTTTTTCAGTCGCAGCAACATGTTTTCTGATAAATTCGTTGTTTTCCATTGGTGGTTTTTAAAATTCTTCTATTAACCACGTGCCACATAAGTTGATGGGCCAATCCACGCTTTTAGTGCGTTTCTATACAGTAAATATCCCTTTAAAATATTAAGTAAGCTATAAAACATATTATGTATGAAATGATACATGTGGTATTTAAATAGATTTTAATTACGTAGCTTGACAAAACAAATAGACTAGCCTATAGTATCGCACCCTGCAGTGATTCTGTAGGAGGACAGAGCATGGAAGCATCATACTCCTGGCATACCAGATGGATACACCACACTGCTGAAACACGCAGATGGAAGCATCATGCTGTTGAAACACACAGGTGGAAGCATCATGCTGCTGAAACACACAGATGGAATAATCATGCTGCTGAAACACGCAGATGGAAACATCATGCTGCTGAAACACACAGATGGAATAATCATGCTGCTGAAACACGCAGATGGAAACATCATGCTGCTGAAACACACAGATGGAAGCATCACACTACTTAAATACACAGGGGGAATCATCATGCTGATGAAACACCCAAATGGAATCATCATGCTGCTGAAACACGCAGATGGAAGCATCACACTACTTAAATACACAGGGGGAATCATCATGCTGATGAAACACCCAAATGGAATCATCATGCTGCTGAAACACGCAGATGGAACATCATGCTGATGAAACACCCAAATGGAATCATCATGCTGCTGAAACACGCAGATGGAAACATCACACTACTTAAATACACAGGGGGAATCATCATGCTGATGAAACACGCAGATGGAAACATCACACTACTTAAATACACAGTTGGAATCATCATGCTGATGAAACACGCAGATGGAAACATCACACTACTTAAATACACAGGGGGAATCATCATGCTGATGAAACACCCAAATGGAATCATCATGCTGATGATACACGCAGATGGAAGCATCATGCTGATGAAACACCCAAATGGAATCATCATGCTGATGATACACGCAGACGGAAATATCATGCAGTTGACATACCAGATGGAAGCAAGATATTGCTGAAACACTGCCTGTGTAAAATAACAAAGGTATAATATGCAGATGTGGGATACTGAGATATAAAAATGATAATGAATGTTCCAAGGTATAATATACACATGTGGGTACTGTAATATAAAATATGATAATGAATGCTCCAAGGTATAATATACACATGTGGGATACTGTAATATAAACATGATAATGAATGCTTCAAGCTAGAATATACACATGTGGGATACTATAATATAAAAATGACAATGAATGCTCCAAAGTATAATATACACATGTGGGATACTATAATATAAAACAAAACAATAATGAATACTCTAGGCAACTAAATTTCAAATGTCATTGTAAACAGTTTGCTGACACTGAATACAGAAATGCCATTTCACAGTTCTTCTGTTGATTGTTTGTCACAGATAAAACATAATTTTATTCCGTCATTTTATTTTAGTTCAATAATCCTGTATCTGATATCAAAAGTTTATAAATCTGTTTGAAACTTATCAGATACGTACATTTCAAATTCAGTTATTTAAATGAAGTCGTGTTTACTATATTAAACACGTATGGCCATCGGGTGAGGTTTGTTTTCTACATCATACACGTATGGCCATCGGGTGAGGTTTGTCTTCTACATTAAACACGTATGGCTATCGGGAGAGGTTTGTCTTCTACATCATACACGTATGGCCATCGGGTGAGGTTTGTCTTCTACATTAAACACGTATGGCTATCGGGAGAGGTTTGTCTTCTACATCATACACGTATGGCCATCGGGTGAGGTTTGTTTTCTACATCAAACACGTATGACCATCGGGTGAGGTTTGTCTTCTACATCATACACGTATGGCCATCGGGAGAGGTTTTTTACTATATTAAAGATGTATGGCCATCGGGTGAGGTTTGTTTTCTACATCATACGCGTATGGCCATCGGGTGAGGTTTGTCTTCTACATCAAACACGTATGGTCACTAAACGACAAAAGATTTGGGATTTTTTTATATTAGTAATGGGTAAAAGTGTGGTAATCGATATGTGTTATTTAGTGTGCTTCGTCCGGTTAATAAAGAGTATTTGGTATTGTGGAAAATCTATCAACAAATATGTTTTGTTCTATTTAGGCAACAATTAAGAAAAGCGAATCGCCTGTAGCATTTAGCGTTATTTATGTACCGAGTCTATTATAATTTTGTTGTTGTTGTTATTACAGAGAGATTATAAAACATTTGGAAATAGTTATTTTGATTCGTTGGGGAAAAGTGGAGTAGTCAGCTGAAATATTAAATCTGTAAATCATTATTAATTAATTTCCAAATACATGTTGATCTGAAGTCACAGATGTTTTCTATTCAAGACTTTATTTTTTAGATGTTTTCTATTCAATACGTTATTTTTTAGATCTTTTCTACGCAAGGCGGTATTTTTTAGATCTTTTCTATTCAAGACTTTATTTTTTAGATGTTTTCTATTCAAGACTTTATTTTTTAGATGTTTTCTATTCAAGACTTTTATTTTTTAGATGTTTTCTATTCAAGACTTTATTTTTTAGATGTTTTCTATGCA